GCCATTACACATTGTCTACCGTTTGGGAGTGTAAATATATGTTTTTATAGTAGTTGATGTTTACTTGTTCTAAGTATAAACGAACGCCCCTACATATATAACTTATACAAGGCCGCTACTAAAGATTTCTTACAACTCTCAGTATCTTCTATGCTGTGACAAATTCGAAAACTAAAGGCTTGTATAAATCTATAAATAAATCTGGGTCATGTCGTAATTGCAAAGGAAGGCGTAATTATCTATTACATTTTACCACACAAGAAAATAAGCAAGGTCCTGACATGCAAGTCACAGGAAGAAACGAAGTTATTCATGATTCAAATACCAACAGTGATCAAGGTTCTAATAATTCAGTTGATGATGTTAATCTACAGGTTACTACTAAATTTTAAGGTGATAAATTGATAAACCACATAAATCTGAGTGATTTGACTCAACAATACAGCAATTATATACATTTGTTAGATTTAAAAAAATACCACGAACAAACCTAATATTTTAGCCCTTTTAGAACGTTGCCATCGTCAAAACGCCCCCGGATGATGGACGGATGGTACATTGAGAAAAGCCTTCACACAAACACGCATTTATGATATTTTGTGAAAAACGGCAAATGCCTAAGGAAAATGTAGAAACAACCAGTTTTCATAAAGTAATGAGTATATTTCAACTTATCATATATTTTCAACACTTCAATATGAAGTTTCATCAGCAAGACTTGTCCTAAATAATTTACTAATTGCATTCAACTGAAGCAAGCGTAAAATGTCCTAAATATACTTTAAAATAACAACAGGAAAGCAGCAAATAATAAAGGAAACCGAACAAGCTCACATTGTCGGTCGATGACAAGCTTTGGAAAATATAACAAATAATTTGGTCCTGCGTAAAATGTGCTTTGCAGGCTGTTTCATTAGATATCTCGAATTTTTCTACGCATTATGCTTACGAATATTTTCCTTCTTGAAGCAGACTGTGAAACTCACCTTAAATCATTTTCCTAACTACCCTCAGACTCTCATTAATGGCTTTATTTACTTTAACTTTTTAATCCTTACTTTCCTTCGTCGCTTGTTTTATGTACAATTTTACTATGACGAGTTAACTTACTATTTGCTTTGAAACTAGCATTGCAAATGGTGCATTGAAATGGACGATTGTCCGAATGGGTTTTCATATGTTCCCATAGACTGCTCGAATATAGAAACGTTTTATTGCAGATATTGCATGTATATTGACTTTGTTTTGCATGTTTATTTCGATGAATATTCAGAATGGCTTTCGATTTGAATGTTAAACTGCAGAACTCACAGGCATGAGGGCGATCATCTGAATGCGTTTTTAAATGATGACCTAAAGTTGAGGCGTATAGAAACTGTTGCTGACAAATCTTGCAAACGAACTGTTTTTGTTTGGAATGCTTGTTTTGATGCGTAATTAGATGATCTTTTCTTTTGAAACTTAAGTGGCAAATGTTGCACTCAAAAGCGCGATTTTCTGAATGAGTTTTTAGATGCGTAGATAACATCGATGAACACGAAAATGATTTATTACAAATTTTACAGTGATACTGTCTTTGTTGAGTGTGATTTAAAATGTGGATCGTTAACAAAACATTTCCCTGAAGCTTTAATCCGCAAATCACACATTGAAGAAGTTTATCTTCCAAACGTTTGATAATATGAGCCTTAAAATCACCTACCAAAACAAACGTTTCGGCACATGCGTTACGTTTGTAGCCTTCTAATTCTTCTGTGGCATTTGTGTTCAGTATTTGCATTTTTCCATTTTTTTCTAAATTATCCTCGACGCTGAATATGAGTGTCGCATCACTTGCAACGTTTTTTAACTCTACCATATGCGACAATTTATGTTCTTCGATTCCAACTACTTCCCTCAATTCAACATCAAACATGTGTCTGCTATCGTCTGAATACCTACAAAAGTAGCATAAAAGCACCGTTTTTGTCTTATTATTTCATAAAGAAGTTGGCCAAGCTTTTTCGACAATAGCATTGTCAGCAAGGCCCAACAAGGGGACCAACAAGTCATATCCAAAACAGGAAATCAACAGTCAAAAAATAAAATTAAAAGTAGAATAAAAACCAACACAAAAACATGAAAATTTTTCACGAACGTGTCAAAGTAAGTACTGGTCCTCAATACGGTAAAATAACCAGTCAGGAATCAGCATATTTTCTAAATTTAGAAAGCTTTCGGTGGAAGCAATTTTAATTTGCTCTTTTATATTAATGTCGGGCTGCAGTTTAATGGGTTTCTGAGACCTAAAAATTAGAATTATTATAATTAGTTGATACTGTTACCAAAATTGATTCATATACTATGATATGAGTTTTGGAAAATGCGATTAAACGCAATTGGGTGATACGTTTCCTATTTCCCACACTTCTCATTAAATAACTATCTTAATGTCTTAGATACATTATCCAATGTTGCATTGCCAGTTATATTGGAATTATCTACAGTTGTTATGGCAGATGTAATTTTTCCTGAATTGTTAATTTTATTCTTGATGGGATTGTTCACATATCCTTCAACGGGTTGATGATTTTCAGCCGCCGTATCTTTTTAAGTCTAGCAAACCACCACAGTCATCAGCAAGAATAGTTGCTGACGACCTCCGAAAACAATGTGCGGAGAAGGCATTTTCCACTAAATCGAATAAAAAAAAATGATAAATCTGTAGCATTCTTTGAGATAGAACAAATGTTCATATATTTTTTTACTGTAGGTTAAAAATGTTTCGGTACAACAAAAGAACGTTGTCGCTAAGTTTTAGATTCAGAAATAAAAATAATAAAACATTTTGTAGTATCTTCTATATGTTGAGGTTTTATGTTCCGCAATTCCAGTTATCGACATGCAGCGCAAATTCCAATTATAAGAACGATCTAATGTTATAAAAACATATATTTTTCTCATTTGGGTCTCAAAATTAAAACGACGTTTAATATACGATTATAACAACAGCAAAACAGTAAATAATAAAGGAAATCAAACAAGCTCATATTCTCGGTTGATGACAAGCTTTGCAAAAAGATAGCAAATAATTTAGCCCTCTTTTCGAATACTGCGATGAACATTTGAACATGTGAACAACTTGACACTGTGCTTTACAGGCTGTTTCATTACAAATCTCGATTTTTTCTACGCATTATGCCCACGAATATTTTCCCTCTTGAAGCAGACTGTGAAACTCATCTTCGATCATTTTTCCAACTGCCCTCAGACTCTCATTAATGGCTTTATTAACTTTGATTTTTTACATACATAAGGGCGATTGTCTGAATGACTATTCACATGCTGAGATAAATCCCAAAAAGAAAAATAGGTTTTATTACAAATTTTACAATGATACCGTCTTCCTTGAGTGTGTTTCCGAATGTGAACCTTTAAGGAAACATTTCCCTCAAACGTTAATTTGCATTGAAGAGTTCTATCTTCCGAACGTTTGATAATATGAGGCTTGAAATCACCTACCAAAACAAACGTTTCGCAAAATACGTTACATTTGCAGCCGTCTAATTCTTCTGTAGCATTTGTGTTCAGCGTTTGCATATATTCAGGATTCTCCAAATTATCATCGACTTTGAATGTGAGCGTCGCATCACTTGCGTCTTTTTCTAACTTGAATATATGCGACGATTCCTGTTCTTCGATGTCAATTTCGTCCTGCACTTCAAGATCAAACATGTGTCTGCTATCATCTAGATATCTACAAATAAAGTAGCATAGAAGCACCGTTTTGTGTATTGTTATTCAATAAAAAAATTTGGCCAAGCTCTTTCGGCAATAGCATTATCAGCAAGGCCCAACAAGTGGACGAACAACTCACATCCACAAAAGAATAACAAGACAGGCAGAAAATCAAATTAAAAGTCGAATATGAAAACTACACAAAGGCATTAATTTTTATTGCGAATGTTAAAAGCAAGTTAAATAATTAAGATTCATTTATCCAAATTTGGAAAGCTTTCACTGCAAAAGTTGCACTTCGTTTCACTGTTGATTGAAGATAACCTGAACCTCGATTGGCAAAGTTGAAAAAAGAACTGCTTTCAAGTTAGTATCAAATATATTAATTGGGCAGGATTGGGGTTCTTTTATTATGCCAAATCTACGCCAATTCAATTTAAGTTTCCTCTTTTATTTTAACGTTAGCCCGCAGTTTGATACGATTTTGAGATCTGAAAATTACAATGATTAATTGAAACTAAATAAAGAATTATTTCTGTTCATCTTCCTTCACCAACATTTTCATCTATTTTATCAAGATACTTGCAAACGTTTCGTTGTTCTTGTTACAATTGTTGCGTTCCATATTTTGAGATTTCTTTATACTCTATTTAACATTTACGATATTCGTCTTTGTTTTGATCTTATCGCACTATCGGTATTCTTCGATAGTAATCTCGTCCATCACGACATCATTAAATATTTACATCATTTTAACTGGACATCTAAAACAGGAGTGTCATCAGCTGAAGGTGTCTGCTTGTCCGAGTTCTTTTGAAAACATCCTAAGGACCAATAAATTGCAACTTTTTTCCGCCACAACGCAACATTCAGAGAAGATAGTATCAAAATTCTGCTTACATTAAAGATCGAGATAATTTGGTATCAAACTCTTAATAATAACAAATTTAGCTTCTGCACTTAACAGACATTTCCAAATTTCGAATTGTAATTTTGTATGTTGTGAATACATCTTCTGAAACTTATAGTTGAAAATACAAAAACAATTCCTTGCATGACATATTTTCGTTTTGAAAATATGTTTTTTAAAAACGATTTATTCGCAAGTGCTACAAATCGAGTTGTAATCGCACGGCTTATAAATAGAGAATGAGTACAACAATTAAGACTTGTCATAAAGAGGACAAAAGTGTCTATAAAGTGTTCTCTAGAATTGGCTGCTGATTTGGCTGTATCTGTTTGAAGGTGTGTTGGGCTGATGGCGCAACTCATGACAGCACGCTATCAACAGCCTGCTTTATAACCTTTTTATATTAGAACACCTTCATTTAATCTGTAGCATTGTCTGATGGTTGAAACTGACAGGTTTTACTTTCAACTTTCAACTTTGCAATGCGTGGAGCTTTTTTTAGAAATAATTTTATTCTGAGTAAACAACCAGCATTTGATTCTGGTTATTGTCTTAGAAATAAGTCAGTTCTCTGACAACTTCAGACTTTTCTCTGGAATCATTTCAAATATTGGACAGATCTTGTCAAAAATGAAAAGATAAATGTTTACCCTACAGTAAACACAACATAAAAGCAAATAATATAACCCCTTTTAGAACGTTGTTATAGTTAAAATGGCAACAGATGTTGGTACATTGTGCAAAAATATATCTTTCAACGCAAACACGCATTTGGATTATTTTCTCAAAAATTGCTTACATAATAAGTGTTATAAGCAGCACAAATTCTATGAGTAGGTACCTAATAACTTACTAAAACTATAAAACAAATTTGCATATTTTTAAATTTACCAATTTTGACAACGAGTGAAAATTTGACAGCAGCCCGGAATTACAAAATTGTATTCAAATTTAAAAACTCTCGTAAGTATCTAAACTTTGTTAATTAAATACTTCCGCATGGCACCTTTTCAAGCTCAACAACATGGTTTCGAAGAAAATTCATTACAACATTTCGCTTCTTTGAAATCATCAACTTTTGTTTTTCATATGGATCGAAAAAAAGTACATCGCGTATTAAATAGCCCGTTTAATAGCGAATTCAACGATATGTAACAAAGTGTGATTTATTCCGGTTATTGGGTCAAAAAACAGGTTTTCATAGATTATCCCCATTTCTATTAGTAAACGATATCAACATTGCGCTTGTCAGTTCTAACAACTGTCAATAAGTATTTAATGCACATCAGTATCCGAAATTTCTCGAGCGTTTTTCATTTTGCCGGGAAACAATTTTACAAACGAAGAAACATTTTATAAGTTTTCATATTTCATCTTGGCTCACAACAATAGTGTAACCAGAAAAAACCTTCCAATGAGGAAAAAGAATACCACGTTATTCAAGCAGTTGTTGAAAAGCCTGAAATGTCAACAAGGGAAATTGAAAATCAAATTGGAGTACTTAAATCAACCGCTCAATTCATTGTAAATAAAAATAGCTGTAAACCCTTTATATTGGGAATTTGCCAAGGACTTCAAACTGGAGATGAAATTAGATGAAGGACATTCATTCAGTTCATCAAATCCATTTGGTCGGACTAACAACGGAATTTTCAGTAGGCGAAACACCCATAATTGGGTACAAAACAACACATAGGAAAAAATGAATCCAGTCATCAACACCGATTTGGCTTTAACTATTGTGGCGCGGAACTTTTGGAACACGACTATTGAAACCTTTTATCACCCCAGTTTGACCGCAGAACGTTACCTTAACTTATTGGAATATCAATTAGAAGAAAGCTTAGATATTGTGTAGCTAGAAAATGTACAAAATTGCTGGTCTTGCAAAAAACAAGAGGGAGCTCCTGCGCACAATGCCAGACAAGTTCGAGACTGCCTGTCTCAACAGTTTCCAGGAAGATTGATCGGAACTTATGGTAACGTTTCCTGGCCAGCACGACCGCCAGACTTGTCCCCAATCGACTTATTTCTTTGGGGTTACATTTAAAACCAAGTGTACGTTCACTATTTCGACACTTTTGAACAATGCATTACTTATTTACCGAAGCATTTAATTCCATAGCTCTAGATCGGTTAGAAGAGCGTACCTGTGTTTAGAAAATAATGATCACCTGCTTGAACATTTATTATAAACTTTTTTGTTTTCTTTTTCTGGTGTTGGTATACTCATTTTATTTAAATTACTATTTTTGTATAACTTTTTCTTGATTGAAAGGTTTTATTCTGGTTTTAGTAAGTTTGGTAAATGGCACGTACTCCCTAAGTTGAGAGCTAGAGGTCTAAAATTTGACTTATGAAAATGTAACCTTCCAGGATATTTGTTGCACATGTAAAATAGACATCGTTTATTAAAAACTAGATTTTTGACGCAATAACTGCAATAAATCATACTGTCATACATTGTCGAAGTCGCTATTAAAAGAGCTATCTATTACGATATGTACTGTTTTCGGTCCATATGAAAAACAAAAGTTGATGATGGTTTCCAAGAAACGAAACGTTGTAGTAAAATTTTCATCGAGACCATCTTGTAAAGATTGAAAAAGCGCAATGTGAAGGTATTTTTTGTTTTTTTAGATGATTCGAAATAACTTCAAGAATGAGAAAAAACGAAAACCCGAAAAATCACTTTTTTCTAAATATCGCAAATATTAAAAGAAATTCTTGTTTTCTGAAAACGCCATATATATGGCCCATTGATTGCGCAACTTTTTACTAATTTAACCAACTTCGTATCTCTTACGGTTGCGGAGATCCCCATTGCACACCCTGTATAATTGAATATTATTGTAAAATAATTATATTTTTGGAAAATGCGTTCAGAGGCTCCTGGGAAATTAATTTCGACATTAGAACGCTGTAGACTGAAGAATCATTTGAAAGAGTAGCTAAAATTGCAAAATATACCAGACATAATACATATACGTATGAGTTTTCGGAATATTAATGTCGATCTTGGGACGCTTGAGACTCAATAATCAGTTGAAACAGTAACTAACATTGCAAAATATACTATAGAATTAAATTTATAAAATGCGTTTATCGTCTACTGAAAGATTAAATTCAACAATAGAAGTCTTGAGAGTGAAGTATCTGTTAAAAAGTGTTTAAAATTGTTATAATAAAAAATAAAATAATAAAATATACTATAGTAAGAGAGCAAAAAAATATACCATATGACTTGGAACTTGCGTCTGAAAGCAATTTTGGAGTTGAAATGGACCTTGAAACTCTGTCTGTAAATAATTAGTTGATAATGTTACCAAAATTCAGTCGTCCTATGATATGAGTTTTGGAAAATGCAATTAAACGCAATTGGGTGATACGTTTCCTATTTTTCATGCTTCCCATTGAATAATTGTCGTATTATCATATATTCGCAACATTATTGTCTAATGTTGCATTGCTAGTTATATTTAAATTATTTAAATTTGCTATGGCAGAAGTAATTTTTCCTGAATTGTTAAGTAAATTATTGATGGGATTGTTTACATATCCCTTAACGCGTTGATGCGCGTTGGCAGAGAAAAAATACCTTTTTTCTTTGGCCAAAGTGTCGGCTTTATTTAAGCCAGTATTAACATTAAATAAAAGTTATTTGCCATCAATGTAAAATTCAAACGGAACCCAAATAACAGTGAAATTGAATATACAAGACAAAGGACAAAGAGACATATCAATTTAAAGGCATCACAAGATAAAACAGCTAAAAAATTGAAAAGGGTAAAAAAATATTTGGCAAGACAGAGACGCAATCATAATTAAGGCCACTCACCAATAATTTAGTGCATCTCCACCATGGAATAATGGAGAGAGCATGCTTAACAGAGGCAGGTGTAATATTGTACTGATTTCGTTAATCATCGTGTCCGTATGTGAAAAATGTGAAGAATGACTAGCTGATATGAAAATATTAATTTTTTTTTTCATTTATTTATTTGTTGTTAGCAGAAAACCATCATTCGACGGGTTAACTATTCTACTATAGAAAGTAGATCGATGTTCGTCACTTTTTAATTTCTGGCAGAATGTTGTTGTAATTAAGAAAATTAACCGAGGCATTGATTTTAATGAAGATGGATTCACTCAAAAGTATTTTTGATATTTGCGGTTGACAATCTAAAATTCTTAAATTATTGAAGTCAAACTTGTTGTGCTGTATTGTTTGGTGTTTGACCAATGCGGTGGAGTTGACAACATTGGTCTTTGCTGAAACTCTTTTATTACTGAGATTATCTGCTTTAGATATCTACCTAACTGATAAATGTAGCATTGAGTTCAATCAGAGCAAGGTATTTTGGCGACACAGGCCCTACATAATCAATTCAAAAATTTAAATATTTTGCGAAATAAGAGCACTATTTATCAATCTGTACTAACAGACGTGAGGAAATTCTGTCTTTTTTAAAGACAAAAATTTTTGAGGCGAAATACCCAACAGGAAGTTTGTAAAAAAATTTATTTTATGTAATATTTCGGAAACCGCTTTAGATCGATATAGGAATCGTTATGAAAAAATAATCATATCTGTATCGCCAACCGTGCAATAATATACAGGGTGTTTCATTTAAAATAGCTAAGTTGTATGTACTTTTCGGTATAAGCGGCAACCTCGCATTGCTGAAAATATTTTAGGCCGATAGAGCATAGAGATCTACTACGCCATCGACCGTGAATCACCCTGTATATTAATACATTTTCATGTATGAATTCGATGATCTTCTTCATACTTTTGTTAGGTGAGATATAAATTGCTACGATTATAATTTCTTGACCATTTTCTGTTTGACTAGTATGCTATATAAATATCTCCTATTGACGATATAACTCGATTATTTATTTTTAAATCCGCCTTCTAAGGTGTATATAGCTGCAGAAACGCGCGTCATGTGTTTTCTTCTGTATCTTTTTAATAGTTTTAAGTATAGAATTTCACTGTATTTAACGAATTATATTTTTTAAACAATAACCTGTTGCATACTTTAAAACTGTTTGTTTACGTGAAACTTAATTCTCCCTTAATTGCAGCTTAGTTTCAAGCAGAATTTTCAATTTTACCTCGATTCGTTTGATTTACTTTTTCCGTAGACATGTATTGTATATATAATATATATCGTATATTATAATAATTCATAAATTATTAATTTTTAAATTTGCAGGTACTTACATTTGAATTATACGTATATGGATTTGAATTTATATTTTTTGTTTTAAAAACTTGAATTAAAAGTTTTTTTTATAAGAAAGTTTAGTTTTCATTAAGTCTTTGAGTCAAATATAAAGAAACGAAAAATTTTCAATTATTGATTGATGATTTCTGCATTGTCTAAAATAAAATTTATTTTCTAAAACTAAACTCGAAACTGTTACTTTCTTTCAAATACGAGCAGTTATTAGGAGGTTTGAATGAATTTAGACGTCTTGTCCTTTCGTTTAAAAATATAGAAATAATGAATTCTAAATAACATAATGAAAATAATGACAAAATAAAAAACTAGTGTCTCGGGAGTTAAACAGAATAACTTAGAAATATGTATACCTATAAATCGTCAATCGAACTAGCTGGAAGCCCGTGATATTTATTGACTTTATATTTGATCAACTTTAATAATTTTTCTGACTAATCCAAAATAATTCAAATTTGTACAAATGATCAGGATAAAAAATTATGCTAATTTAGCTATACTCAAAATTAATTTTGATTAAAAATTATTAGCAAATAAATTCAACTTTCTCAAGTTCAAACAAGTCCTCAACAAAAAAACATGTTAATTTAGCTATAGTCAAAATTAATTTTGATTAAAAATTATTAGCAAATAAATTCAACTTTCTCAAGTAAGTTACTTTGTTTACTTGCATAGAGTGTTACTTAACATTCTCTACTGGCTTTAATGAAAAATCTAATTGGACTTTGCCAAAGCGCTGTGAACTTGCCTACTAATGATGCGAATCCATCTAGTTGTTGGGCTAGTGAATATATAAAAGCATTTTTATCAAAAACCTTTGGACAGGACCAAGGATTATTTTAGACTTTCATTTACGAAAATCTATGAGCCGGTTCTAATCTTCGACTCTTTTACCAATTTTGCGAAAAAATTAGTGGGAAAAAACAAGCGGTCTTTTCAAGCTATTAATAAACTAAGTTAAATTCGAAAAAAATCGACTTATGCTTCTGAAATGAATTGGATTTTTGCGCCAAAAATAGCTTCAATTAGGCATTTATCAACGATCGAAATACAGAGCCAAGTGTACCAGAATAACTCTCAAGTTAGACATGTGGATGCAAAAATTGTGTTCGGACCAGTCCCCGTCCGCAAACTTAAACGAATAGTTTATTTTTAGGTTTTTTAGTTGTTTCGTATATTTCAGGGTGCAATCGAACATAATTAGGTGCATAAAAATCAAGTTTATTAACGCGATTACGTTCATCCACATTCACACTGTGAAATTGTGTTGTGTGTGCTCAAGTTTTCGAATTTCCTTTGGATCCATGTCTCGTCATTTAGCGATTGTACAGGTTTAAAATGTGATTAAGTTATCAAAAAATAGTAGGACTACTGTTACACTAACAGTTAAAAATAAAACATTTTTCAATTGAAAACTAGCAACATGCGTTGAATTAACTAAACAAAACGTTCTTGTTGTGTTGATTCAATTCAAATCCCTTACATAAAGTGGAAGATTAAATAGTAGAAGCTTTTCCTAAAACATGCAACATTGGAATTGTTCTTAAAATACGTGTAAAACATGTTTCGGGATTCATAAACACTGATGTCTCATCTGAACAATTCCATTGCCAAGACTTTATTATAACTACCTATATTATTCGAATGTCATAATATCTGGTAGATTTCGTTAAATTATTCAGGCTTGAGTTATGTTCTTTTGATAATTATTAAAAATATATTATAGAGCCAAACAAGCTATTTATTGTCAATTTATTGATATACAAGAAGTAAATTTAGAAACGAATGTTGCAATCTTATTAACAAAGCTTTTTTTGGCAAAGAAAATATTTTATAAATTGAATTGCAATGAACTATTTGTTCATTAAACTTGGGATAATTTTATATAATTCCATCCACATTAGAAGCACTACGCAAACTGTTTTGCCATATTTAGAACTTATTTTATCTCATTTGATAACGTTCTTATTTTGTTTTAATTAATTTTAAGTTGCAAATTTAAAACTAAAAGTCAGTAAACGCAAAAGTCGACTTTAAATTTTTTATAAATATAAATAAAATATTTTACAAATTTTTAATTAAATTGATGGTTTTCTCTATAATTCATTCTTAATAAGCACAATTTGATTGCGTCAGTTCAGTTCAATCTGAAATTCTTAATTTATATTTTTTTCCAAGTTTAATTTTTTCGTTAATAAGATCACAATTTGAACCCTAAAGTGCATAGTGAGTAATTTTTCCATCAATATTTAGATGAGTATTGTAATATTTCAGTTAATTTTGGTAAATTGAATAAAAACATTGCGCTTTAAAAAGCTGTTTAAACCAGAAGAGCTAAAATTAATTTTCCTTTCGTCCGGTCTTTGTAATTGTCGAAAATAACATAATATGACTCTTTTGTCAATTAGTACTGATAATTAGTAAAAATGTACGTAAATAGTCAAAAAAGTGGGATTTTTGTTGATGTAATACCAGAACCCCCCCAGTGAAATTTTCTGATTGAATAATAACATTAAAATTACTTTTTACTGCAAACGGCCCATTAATTTTCAAATAAAAATGATCGGCGAATTATATTATAAGAATGTATACAGTATGACCAGCCAATAATTTGAATGACTTTAAGAGCATTTTCAAATTAAAAAACATTACAAAACCTTATATACAGGGTGTTTTTTTAGTGAGATAGAGTCCATTATTTCCGTTGGTGTTGAACTTTCGAAAAATAGTTTCGTATAAAAGTTGTGTACGCACCAAGTGCGCACATTTTAAAAATATCTTATTTGATACAGAGTGTCTCAGAAAAGCGAGGCAAGATCAAAGTATATGTTTTTAAATAGAACTACTCATTTTTCATTAGCTCCTGGAATGCAGCTTGAAACGCTGCATTTGCGCCTTAAATTGTTTTTTTCTTACTTGCGACGTTGACAGATTGTCGCCATTTTCGTAAAATTTTGCTTAAAAACATGGTATCTAAAAATTCATTGTAGAAGCAAAAAAAAGACTTAGATGCAAAAAAATACGTCTTTCCAATCAGCACAGGTCCGCTAAGAATGCTATTAAACCAAAATATTAATACATTGTACAGGGTGTTAACAATGTGGACTTCAAACTAAAACTTTTTAACGCAATATAACTTTTGTTTTTCAAATGGAAGTACCTGTATTCATTAGATAGACAATTTACAAAGTTACAAATTTGCATTTATACTTTAAGCTGTGAAATCAAACGTTTTCAAATTATAAATTATTTTATTAAAAAATTTCAAAAAGCATAGCATTTTGTGTGGGGACGCACAATATCTTCACCATGAGGTTCCACTAACGGGACCTTTAAAAAATATTTGCCTCGACAGAGGTGGAGGGTTGATTTTTGACAATGGTGGATCTTTATGGCTCTAACACCTGGTTTCCGAGCCCAGTACTAAAATTTTAAATTTACAGGGATGGAAATCGCGTTGTAATACAAGATTACTTGGGGCTACGTTTTGATTAAAAATAATGAATTTTATTAAATATTTCGGAAACCGCTTTAGATCGATATAGGAATCGTTATGAAAAAATAATAATATCTATATAGACAATTCATTTAAAATAGCAAAGTTGTGTGTACGTTTCGGTATAAGCGGCAACCTCGCGTTGTTGAAAATATTTTAGGCCGATGGAGCATATCTGGTGACTTCGTTATACAAATTTACAGATAGATCGTGCATCGCGTTCTCCTTAAATGTCTAATACGCCATCGACCGTGAATCACCCTGTAT